TTTTGTAATTGTTATTTATATAATCAAGGATTAAATTAGCTCCGTGGTGCAAAACAAATACCATCTTCTGCAGAAAACCTGTCACGGCCCCTTGAGAGTTTCCTTCTTTAATGAGAGCCCCAGAATGGGAAGCATGCAATCTAATTGTTCATTCAAGCACAACAAGACGGCAAATTAACACTTGGACAATCTGTCCTTTAGACTGCGCTACAGTCAGTGTGTGTGTGTGTGTGTGTGTGTGGCTGGGATTGTCCTCTTTCTGAACACACACATATTAGCAGTTTAAACAGACATTTTACTTGTAATAATCTAATCATTTGCTGTCATACAGTCCCAAAAAAAATTTTTACACAAGGACTTTTCATGTCCTTGTGTAAATATATATGTATCTGTCAGATACAAGTCATTTTATGAAATATCTTCACTAATGGGGCTAATTGTTGGTTATCTTCCAGAAGCTTCTAGTTCAGCTAGTGCAAAAGGAAAGTAAAGGAAAAATAAGCTTGCTTAAAGACTGTTCTTAAAACTTTAAATTTTATGTAATTTAAGGTTTTCTTTCACACATCGAAATAGAGCCAAAGACAGGGGAACAGTTAGCTTTCAGCTAACTGGAGAACAGCTAGAGAGTTTTATGACAGTTTTATGACAGTTAGTCATAAAATAGATAAACATATCCAGAAATAGCCAAAGCTAAAACCTCTCATTAAATCATTTAAACCTCCTTTAAAAACTGTATTAAAAAGGTCTTGACCTTGTTTTTTGTCTGACAGAAACTTGTAAACACAAGACACTAGGTATTTCTCCACGTTTGCCAAAAACTTACTGGAAATCATCCAATATGCAAATTTTAAAAAGCATATGTAGAGTATATAATTCTACAGAGGACCAAGAGGGCCCCGGTTTATGACATTCATTTTCCACCCTGGTTCAGATGTTGGCCAGCGCGTCGTAGACTTGGCTCTCAGCTGGGAGGTTAGTGCTCGGTCAGCATCACTCAAACAGGAATTACCTCCATGGTTTTGCCTGAGGGAGGGGGGTAATGAAAGTGGGGAGTGAGAATGGTGACGGTTGCTTTGACAGCAGTCATCGCTCAGGAAAAAAAAAAAAAAAAAATCTCGGTCAGCTGCGTCACCTTCATCACCTCTTTAACATCATTACAGACAGGAGAACACAACCATTACGGCTAATGGTTCTCTGACACACTGCACCATGCTGCTCAGCTTTGTTAGAACATTAGAGCCAAATGTGTGAATTTGGACATTTAGCCTTTTGTTTTTCATCCCCTCCTGCAATTCTTGACTCCAGGGGAGTGTTTTCAATTTGTCCACAGCGTTCTTCCAGAGAATATGTGAACTGTCACCTAATGTGGAGCCACATGTGGCACAGTGTGATCTGTTTGTGTGTCATCTACCACCTGTTTGTCCAAACAGCCAAACAATTCTTCAGGGCTTCTTCAGACTAATGTGCCTTTGAATTGACTCCGATGCAGCAGAGATGAAAATTAAAAGAGGCTTTTCTGGCCCCGTGGCATATGTTTGTTGGGGCAAATCAGATCAGTTACAGATTTGACAACATTTAGGGCTGTAGTGTCGTCAGTGTTAGCAGCTGTTCAATGGAATTCAGTTTATAAATGATACAAATGTTTAAAGGCTAAAGTTAACTTACTGTGGAGCATACATAGCTAACCTAGCATGGTTTCCTGTTGTCGTTAGGCTAATTTTAAGATGTATATTTGTCTTTTTGTATTCATCATTTATTTATTTACAACAATTATTTGCTATGGGTAAGCTGTTTTGCTTTACATTTTAGCTAAATTGCTTAGGCAAGTCTGAGATTAAAATAAGCTAATACTCTATTAGAGACGGGGAAAAAAACACAAGAAAAAATAGAGAAGTGATTGATGACTCAAGGCCAGAGAGAAAGAAAAGGATTATGTCTCTTTATTCCTCATAACAGCACTATCTACTGCAGCTGCCTGGGCCGCGGGGACAACTGTGGGGTGGAGACTACAGTAGATTTTTTTTTCTTTCCAACTCAGAAGTGGCTTCATTCCTCAGTCTTGCTGTGCAGCCTTTTCCATTGGAGAGGTAATGTGATAGGTCTAATCCAGCCTGCAGTGAAAACTAATGGCACCAAGAGATAACTTCCCAGAAGAAGTTTTGCTCGTTGCACGGCTTGTTGCACAGGAAGCACATTAGTATCTGTGTTTGGATGATGGAACCACAAAAAACAATGTCAGAAAACAAAGAATGGAACGTGGTCCGAGAAAGTTTACATATTTACAGTCTCATCATCATCATCATCATCATCATCATCACCATCTTGTTTGTCTGTGTTTTTGTTCCTATTGTGTGTGATGATGAATGTGCTGACATCCTTGGCTGCCTGTTATTACAGTCGCAGCTTCAGGCAACAACTTGAAGAAGACGCATTGACCACTTCTTTTCTTTTTGTCAAACATTCATCATTTCTTTGTTCTGACAAAAAACACGTAACTATCCGAAGACAGGCCATTTTCTATTGATTAAAAGTCAAGTGTAAAAATGTGTCGGGGGCGAGATGGGGGGGGGGGGGGGTTACAACTTTCACAAGGCAGGAATACTTGAGTGATTTGACGAATTGCTGCACTTTTACTTTTGCACAGAAGAAACTTCGATCTTGCTGAAGCTGAGAAATCTTGAAACCTATGGATTTCACATTCTCTATGCTTTACTGCGTCTTCCCTGGCTGAGTGTTGTCAGTTGAGACAAATTTGTTTGGAGTCCAAGTTTTTTACATTTTGGCTCAGTTCTTCATTGGTGCATTTCAGTCACCTGATCAAGATTAATTACAAAACAGTAAAACAATAAACATTTAAACAAGTAAAAGTGTAAAACAGGGAACTCCCGAAGGATTAATAAAGTGCTATCTATCTAAATATGCAGTACATACACATACAAAGTATTGTAGTGTCACAGTAATATTTGAAAATATGTCATTAGTTTCACGCATTTCTTCTATAATTTGACCAGTGAGCAGTCCCATAAATCCCCATCATCATTAGTGACATTAATTTTATCGTCTTTTTTTTTTTATCTGCAAACATTTTTCAATGGAACCAATGAGTGGTGATTCAGGCCTTAATGGGTTACACACTGAGAGATTGTTGTTTGGTGTCAGAGTAGATCACTATTAGTCTTAAAAAGTCCGACAACAAATGACTGTTAATACTTTGTGAACTCTCTGACTAACAGCTACTGAGTTTTCTGTTTTCGGACTTAAAGTGATGTTGACAGTCTGTGTCAAGACCAATCAGCTGAGTCAAACACAGAGTTTATTTTTAATTTCTGTTAGGTTAAGGATATGCCACTGATAAGAGAAATGATTCATCCCTGGGCAGGCAATAATAACATTTTAGTGATTAAAAAGAAAAGAAAAAAAAATCAGCCTGAATTTAAGTCTTGGGTATTTCTTTTTTTTTTTTCCTTTTCACCTTGTAATTCCTGAAATAGAAAAAAAGCTGAAGGGAAGGTCGCTTGTTAAACCACGGAATAATACTTTGGAGAAGCAGGTTCATCCCTTGACATCTGAACGGCAGATGTCAAATATCCTGGAGCTTTGTCAGGAGTCAAAGCTCTGCTTTTTACGACTGTCTCCACACTTAATGGTGGGGGTTCTTTTGTAGCCCACTGGTCTAACGGTGAGGTGGAAGAACAGAAAACATAAATAACAGTGACACAGAGGATTGTTTGTTATCAGAGTTTTAAAGATTGACTGAAGTTTGGGAAATAAAGAGGTCTCCACAAGGGCTAAAAAAAACAACAAAAAAACATATTGATGTGCTGTTCTAACATTGTATAAATGTCTTCACATTTACATACAAATTGTATTAATAACAATAGTTAAAAACAATAAGTCACATAACAGAGAAACAACACCTCGTGTTTGTACTTGATGGCTGAAGAGGACGTATGTAGGTGGTGCCATCGCGTCTTTACAGCTACTGTCAAAGTTAACAAAATTAAAGTTAAATTCTTACCTAGAGTGTGAATAAAAAAAATTTAAAAAAAAGCTTGGTGTTTTTGCCACCAGTATTTTCAGCCCCTGTTGTTATGTCCTCAGAAAAACCCACACATCCATTATGTTTTAATTGAAAATGTTGTAATCCTAGCGTTTCATTAGTCCAGTGAATGAGAAATGAGTCTTTTATCACACATTGTTACCAAAGGACAAAGGATGAGATGATGCATAAAAAGGGGTTGCAGTTAATTCTCTGGACTGCGGTGTTTCATTAAGATGCAGTGGCTTCGGATAAAGAGAAAGGGCCAATAAGGTCAACAAGTCAAGTAAATGATTTTGTGCAGAACGAACTCACAGATGACATTTTGCCTCAGTAAACTTTACAGCTACTGCTGCTTAATCCCAAGGAAAATGTTACCTACACATATATAACTAAGGTTCAGACAACAGTCAGTTACAGCACTGTTAAAACACATATTTGAAAATGAATGATTTGGTTTGTAACTGAAAAAAAAAATCTGACAACAACTACATTGACTTGAACACACACGTCACACAAACTAACATTCATATCATCTCACATCAACCCCCAGACTCTGTTGCTTCGTTCAACAATAGAGAGAGAAGAGAATTTTAAAAAAGCACTGGATAAAGACTAATTATTTAATTATACTCACTAAAAAAGCCCTTTCATTCCATCTCGGTGAAGTGAATTTATCACGGTGTCACAGAAGGTTTTTCCAATTACACCTCGCTGAGATTCAAACCCAACTGAGACACGGATTTATCTCCACATCTCCACAGCATTCTCTCTGTGTGTTTGTAAATGTTCGTTTGTCTGTCGGTTACTGTGGCTGTGATTACACGTCGGTGCTGCAAAGATTTCCCCAGAGCGCCGGGATAATCTGGATTTCTCAGACGAGGCTGCAGGTGAAAGAGCAGCATAAAAAGATCGTTTTCCTGCAGCAGCTAATTCCTCTCTTCCTCTCCTGTCTTTGCAGCCACGTTGGGGACCTTGGAGTTCAGTTTGCTCTACGACCAGGAGAACAATGCGCTGCACTGCACCATTAACAAGGCCAAGGTAGGCTTCATGTTCATTCTGCTGCTGGTAATGATGATGACGGTAATGACCGTGGTTACACTAAATACGTGTGCCGAGTTATAACCAGGCAGAAGCAGCGGTAGATTCACCAGTGCTGCTCAGCATGTTACATTTGTCACTTCAGGGTTTGACTGTCTGTTACCAACCTGGTCTACATGCTGATGTGGCCTTGTGCAACACATTTAACTCCAGATTACTGCTGACATCTGTCATCAGCAACAGAAGTTAATATAAAACTAATATCTTATTACTTTGCATACAGTTTTTTTAAAATTAGGACAAAAACTGGTATAAAAGGAGCATCCACCAATGGCCTGGTCTTCATAAACGATGATGAGCACTGGTTTTTTAATTTTGAGCTGGAATTTGGAAAATAATTATTTGAGGAGAGGAGATACTTTCAGCAACTACAGTACCCACAATCCTTTGGGGAAAAGTTTGATTTACCTTCCTGCGTACTTTGATCAGGTCTCTTTTTGCTCAGGTCTTTCTTTCTACGTCCTCCTTCACAAACCTTTTTGCCTTCTTTATTCCTTTGTTGTCGACCAGCTCCGTCTCACTTCACACAGTGACAGTAACAAACTGTTTAACCTCCAATCTACTCATTTGTAATCCAGTCAATCCCGGTCACTCCTAATGAAACCCTTGTCACGGCTGACGGTGCTCCCACCTTCTCCTTCACCTCCTCTGTGGACCGTGTGACTTTAGTTTCAGTTTCACCAGAGTCGACGTTTAACAGCTTGATAAAAAAAAACAAAAAACAATTAAATATGCTTCTCACAATCAGTCTGTCAGACGACAGTTTTTGCAGCTAACGACGCTCCAGTCTGACTAACAAGTGTTGGCCAAGAGAAAAGGCTGCGGAGAAGCAACTTTACACATCCCACAGTTTTCTGTGAGAGGGGGAGATGTTTGGTGATATTTTCATCTGCGAGAACATTAGAGTCTGTGAAGAGCAGCAACAAATATGTGTTTTCAGTTTGTCACACCACAAAGAGTGTGGTTTACCTCCTCGGCCAAATGTAAGCAGTTAGAATTGTGCAATCAATTTAGCGTTAAAAAATATGACTCATTAAACTGCTCTTGTTTTTTGTTTTTGTGTTACAACTTGGCATTATTTTATTCTAATTTTATTCACAAAAAAAAATCAATAAATACATTAAAATATGATATGTAAACAATGCTCCTAAAAGACAAAGGCATCAATAAATACATTAAAATATAATATATAAACAATGCTCCTAAAAGACAAAGGCATTGATTAGTGGACACTTCGTTTGTGTGTGTGAATCATTTAAAGAGTCAGACATAGAAAACCATGGACTGCAGCAAAACAAAAAAAAATCCCATCTGCAAAACTGCAACAATTCTGTTTTAATTCCCAAAGGAGCGGTGACCCCTTGTGGAACTTGTCCAAACATTTTCCTGGTGTCACCGGTTCATAACGTTTGGGCGATAAAGTCTGACTTAAATATAAATTGAAGTGAAGGTGTTCTCTTTGATGTTGAGACTGGCTCGTCATGATCGACTGCTGCTGCTAAAGTCCTCGGCTGCTGTCAGCAACTGCAACTTCTCCCATCCGTCTGCCAGAAAGAAAACTGGGCATCGAGGACTGGAGTTGGCAGGACCGTTGAGCAGGGGAGAAAAGTAGGCGTCAGGCCATCGTTGGTCTGCGCTGGCTGTGTTCTATGACACTCCATTCCTGAAAATCCGCTGCCTCAGCCAAGTAGACAGAGTTTAAACATCTCGCTTAAATATCAGTCTCGGGGATTTTTTTTCACCATGAATCAATTTTTTCTTTGGAGCCACATTCCATGACTTTTTATGAATCATATAAGAATGCCAAGAACTGGTGTGTGGGAAAAAAATAAATCTTGACTGATCTTGACATTAACAGTGTGTGTTGGCAAGTTAGATGTGTGTTTTAAATGCAATTTTAACTAAAATCCAGCAAATGTTTCCGTTCAAAATGCATTTAATATGCACAGAGGTCAATATTATCTAAAGAGAATATTTTAAGGCCTAATCAGTGGATTTCACTTTATGCAGATGATACGTTACAATTCCTTTTTCATTATTCATTGCATCTTTTATGAAATGTCACATTTGTGGAGGCACAATTCTCATGTTGCAGCAGAGAAATAAATAGTGTACATGTTGGCAAAGGTAAGGTTCATCGGCGCTCATTTTGTATTCCCGACCATCTCTATGCTCCAGTCATTACTGTATGAGTCAGGATTCACCATAAATTGACATTTCAAGAACTGTGTGTTTGTTAATGATTTCCTGATGAGGTGCATGTTGACCGTGTGTGTGTGTTTGTGTGTGTTTGTGTGTGTGTATGCCATATGCTAAAGGCCTCAACAGGTTCAGTTCTACAGCCCAGTGCGTCAGAAAGAAGCCTTCACACATCTTATACATTTTAACGTGGTCTCAGGGCCTTAATTTCCACTCCAGTCACTCTTTCAGCGCAGTGCGGACAAAATGCCACCTGCATTAATGACTTTCAGGTTAAACTGTCAATCATGGCTGCCGCTTTTCTTATTTCAATTTCCCCCTATTGTATTATTTTATGGCAAGTTGTTGAATTTTTTACCAGCCCTTTTTCTGTGTTTTCATTGGGGTAAATGGCTAAATTAATTATTAAGAAAATAGCTGACATAATAGTTATAGTAAAGACAGATTAATATAATCAAGGGGTTAAGATAGTAGGAAAATGAAATAAAAAATAAATATTCTAATTAGAAGGTAACTTCAGTTTATTGCTATGATTAGTAAAATACTGCATCCTCAGAACAGGATGTAATTTATGTAATAAAACAATGAAGATGGAAGTCACAGCACAGTCTCAAACAGCAGCAGCTGACTCTGTAACTCTGACCATCATATCAGCATTATATTCTCTGATCTGATGTGATTCCACTCACATTCACGACGTCTCCGGGTGGGATTTTTGTGGTTCGTACAGAGTGACTCATAGACGACGATCAGTGGATTCGCTTCTGATTCAACCGTGTCATCATCCGCACTAGTGTTACAACCACAGAGTAAAAGACTTGGCTAAGAAGTCTTTTCTGTTGTAATCTCACTTTGGAGCTTGCTCATCCCACAGAAGAAGAGGAAAATGACTTCAGGAGGAAACAGACAATAATTTATTAGAGGAACTCGGAGGTGACAGTTCGACATCATTATCATGAACGCACCACTACAGCTGGAGGCCCACCTCCTCTCCCGACTCTGGATGCTTCTCCTTTATTTTGACAGCATCAGACAGCTACAGGGGTTTTGTTTTGTTTTTTTTTCAGAATCATTTCATTTGTATGGAGGCAGGTTAGAGGACACCTGTTGCATTTGTAACCAGATAAAGCCCCAGAGAAGATGAACCTCAGCCAAGGCTGCTCCGTTTGCTCAAATGTCAGAGCACCTTTAGCCACGTCTCCAATTTTCTCTGTCGTCTCTCTCCTGAACTGAAGACAATAAAATATTCTGTTCTTCTCTGTAATAATACACCAGGCATGTTCAAACTGAAACAGACAGCATCCTTCTACTGCAATGTCACTGCAGACGTCCCTACAACTCACTAGGTCTCATGAGAAAAACGGAAAAAAAAACTTTAAATACACTGTGAACAAGATGTTGTCGTTCCTTTACTACTAAGACTGTCATTCAGTCAGAAAAAGAACCGAACATTTACAACCTCACACCTCTCTCTGAGGACAGAGTGTTATACAGCAGGAGCTCACTGGCTCCACGTCTACCTTTCTACTTCACTTCTTCACTATTTACTTTTCAAGTGTGGAAAACGTTTGCATTATTTCCTGATATGTTCTATATTCTCCTGCCTATAGGCAGCACATGTCGTGCTGACGTCGCAGTCTGAGGTCTGTGGAGACAGCTCTGCCGAACAAAACACGATCTAAAACATCTCCATTTTATTTATTAGTTCAGCATCAAAACACATTTACATTCCTCCAGGAAACAGCTCCGTCCGTGGCACAATTTGCATATTAAACATCTACTTTCATCCATTAATCTTGGTAAAGGTCGCACACTGATCCGTGTCATCACTGAAGACCAGGCATCGTTTATTTTATTTATTTTTTTCTAGACACTAACATGATGCCTCATCAGTACGTCTGAACTCTTCACTTATTTCAGAGATTGTAAACCAGTGGCCCAGTGTGATTTTAAACAGTCCCAAAAAAATGTTTTCCCCTTCTTGTTATCCAGTTAGCAGCAGCCTGACTCACCAAAAAAATTGTTATCCAGTTAGCAGCAGCCTGACTGCTAACTTTAACGGTACAACCAGATACACAGTGGACCCAGTGATGCTTTCACTGTCCTGGGATAAAACTGAACGATACCAGGGGCAAAATCAATCACAGTTGTGTGAGATTCTAATTAGTCACACTTCACTAATTAGAGTCCAACACTGTGGCTGTAGCTCAGCAGACAGCGCAGTTGTTTTACACCCGTAGGGTTCTGGGTTCCATCCCAGACTTAGTGGGCTGTATGACACTCAAAGGTAGAAGGAACAACCTGCGGAGCAATGTGCTTTGAGTGAACGAGCTATTTCAGTAGCTGCTACTTTTTCCAGTGTTGTTCCATTGACAGGTTACTGTATGCAGCAGTTGTAGGATGTTCTGCGGTTGTGTGCAGAGTGTACGCCGCGCAGCAGTAAAGCTCGTGTTTGACAGACTAAACGAATGCGCCAGAAAATAAATAAATATCTCCCGGCAGGATCAAGGCAGCAGCGTCAGATGTGTTTCTGACAAGCGCAGCTTCTGATGCAGCTTCAGAGACGCAGCCGTGCTGCTGCCACATCCTGGAGCTTCACAAGTGCTGGTGTTTGAAGACGGCGCCGCTCTACAAGTGTGGCCGTGTACCTCGACTGTGACGCGCCCACATTAAAGCTAACAGCTGCCTGAGGAGTCTGGAGCACGTCTTCCCTTTTCTTACGGGTGACTCAGACTTACTGT